AAGTATGCCCCAATCAGCTCACAAATCCCGTACTCCTAGGGTATGTTCAGTATGAAGAAAAATTAAGTTGCTTAGACATGAGGAAAACAACTTCCCGTTAAGGGCAAACAAATTCTAAAAGTGGAATTCCACAAAACACTCTTTAAAAAAACATATCACTGGAACATAAAAACATACATTATTTTCAAATATACGGGAAAAAAATCCACAAACCAGAACTAGGAAGCATCTATAGTTTAAATTAGATCGCATCGGAACTCTGCTATTGTACATCTTGCAGTAATGACAACATCTTTACAGTGTAAAACATTTGCTTGATTTTGTTATTACCACATAACAACACCAACTAAGCAAAAATGAAAAACAAACACCCAATTCTTACAATCATGATGATTAACAAAGCTAGCTAGATATGTGGTCAGTGCTATCCTTACAAATTTATTTCGCAATTCAATCATATCTCAAGAGTACGAAAACAAGAAAATCCATCAAACGAAGGGAAATAAATTCGAAAAACCAAAACACTAGGAAGCATCATCACATTGCAAACTCTGTTATTGTACATCTTACAGTAAAGCAAACATCTTTACGGTCCAACATTTGCTTGATTTTGGTATTACCACATCTCAACACAGATTAAGCAAAGGGAAAAAAACACCCAATTCTTACATGCATGATGATTAACAAAGCTAGCTAGATACGTGGTCGGTGCTATCCTTACGAATTTATTTCACAATTTGATCGTATCTCAGAGTACAGAAACAACAAAATCCCTCAAACCACGATATTATTCAACATTTCAAAGTAGAAAAACAACATGCAATCCAATTGAACAAAACCAAAAAAAAACAGACTTTTTTTGAAAGAGTAAAAGATCAAACCTTGATCACAATAGAAGATTCCATGAGGGTAGCGTTCCAGGTAAAGCACAAAAAACAGTAGCGATTGTACTATGAATTTGCTAAGAATTTGAAAACCCTAACCCTAGAAATAGAATTTGTAGAGAAAAATTTAGCGATGAAATAGCAGTAGAGGAAGAGACTCCTTAAGCGAAGGGTGTCTATTCGGTTGTCATGTATATCGCATTTTATTATTTTTATTGTATAATTCGGCATATATATAAAAATAAAAATAAAATATTGTGGGCTCTATTTTAATTTATTTTATTTTTTGGTTTTGAAGAAAACTACAGGCCTAAGGAAACCAAAAAGTCATTTTTTGGGTGAGATACGAAATAGTTTTTCAAGAAAATAAACTATACATATATTTTGTGTATAAGTAAAAAATTATTTTATTTATATATAAATTTTCTAAACAAATATTATTAGGTGAGGGTGCAACAAAAGTGGGAATGAAAATAAAATATGTTGAAAGGTGAAAAAGATATAACTAAGTATATTACTTTATATTAATTAACAGTTCTTGTTGCTAATAACCCTCAATGGCCACCTTAGAAACAATTGAAATTAACTATAAACTTTATGTTAATTTGTATGTTAAATAATTTTGCTAACTAATAAAATTATTTAATAGTATATTGCTAATTTGACACTACAAAAATACAAAGTTGAAACGGTCTTTTATGATTTTCTTTAAAGCAAATGTAGAGATATATTCCATCTTTTCTTTTTCTTTTTCTTAGTTAGTCCATCGAATTAGTAAATTTAAAATATCAAAAAGATATTTAATTTCTATCATAATTAGTATGGTATAGTTCTAACGTTAAAAGTCAATAATTTAATTTATTAAAAAAAAATTAAATATGTAATCTTGAAGTATTTTAAAATAAAATTTACATATATAAAAATTTTATAAGAATATTATAAGTTACACTCACAATAATTTGTAATTCAAAATTTATTGAAAATTATGATAAAAGAATCTTATTTAAATTTCATAATTTGAAATTCAAAAGATACCACCTTAATTTAAATGTCTTTGGGTATCAAGTTATAATTCGAGGTAAGTTTTTTCTCAAAGACAAACATTATAATGCTAACATTTTCCCACAAAAAATACTCCATCTACTATTTGCAGTTTTGCACTAAACTCATATTAGGTTACACTCAAAATAATTGGTAATTTAAAATATATTTAAAAATTATGATAAAAGAATTTTATTTAAATTTCATTATTCAAAATTTAAAAATACCACCTTATTTTAAATATTTTATGGCATCAACTTATTTTAAATGCATACTGCTATATTCTCAAATTATTTATTGTGTTCTTTTTTGTGCATTTCTTTTTCAAAAAATATAAAATAAAATATAAAAACTATTCGACCTCATTTTTGTCTTAAAATATAATCTATATCTATCAAATATCAAATATATTTACTATATTCAAGAGTTTTTATTCTGGGACAACTAATTATGAAATTCACAATAGATCATTTGAAACGAGAGGAGTAACCTATACTTTTGCTTAATCCTCTTACACTCAACTATTGTTATTTAATAGCCTTATTTAATACTCTATATAATACTTCAATTTATTTCACTTATTTTCTTTTTAGCCAGTTAAAAGATATTAATATTTTTTATATAATATTCTATTTTAAAATTAATTTTCAACCTAGCATGTTTAAAATTCAATAATTCAAAAAATTACTCTAATTTCTTAAACATTTTATCAAGTTAAAATTAGACATATAAATTTAATTTTTTAAACTATAATTTATTAGTATAATAAATTAATAATGTACTTCGAGTTTTAGCTACTATAATAAAAAGGAAAAAAGAGGTTCATAAAGTGAGAAATGAGACGAGTAAGGAAATATATTGATAATAATTATTCGTACGGTTTACGTCAAGTCAATACATATATGTCATATATTTAAATTTACAGTCCAGTTTACTTCATTAGCAAAAAAAGAGAACTGAAAAATATCAAATTTACAGTTCGAATTTCATAGTAAAGCCAGACTAAATTTATATAGTACACTGTTTGGTTTATTTTGGGATCGTACTTCAAATAAAACTTACTTTATATATAAAGTTCGAATTTAAATTTAAATTAAAAATAAAATAATTTCACCGCACAAGACGTAGGATTAATATAAACCATACCATGCCACTGCGTGCAGTCAGCCAGGACCAAAAGAGAAAACAATAAAAGCGTTGATATATGCTTTCTTCGTCTCATTTTATACGATGATCATATATATTTAAACATGAAATTTAAATACAAAATACGACATTAATATTTTCGTGGAGAAAATGACAAAAATGAACCATAAAATTTTGTGCTTTTTAAGTTCAAAATGTGTTGAAAGTGAGTACTCATTGTATCCAAATATTTACAAATTGTGGATGTTAGATTTTACAGCAACTGTGATATTTCAATCACTTTTTTTTTGAAAGATAAACTAAGATAAAAGTGTCTCTTAAAATGAAACGAAGATTTAATAATTGTTGTTAACAATATAATGCCATAGAAGTGAAACCGAGAATGATAGCAGTACCGGTGATAGCAAATAATCCCCTCTCTTTAAACACAACGTTGGCCGCATACATTGCCACCTCAGACGTGATCGACTTACCATCCTTCACTACGCCCCTACGGCGTTTACGAGTGAATGCTAGCAGTACGAGCACCATAATCCATGTTATTATGGTGGTTCGTACTGCTAGAACAATTAGTACTGTTGTTCCCACTAGAACGACAGTGCTAATAACAAGAAATGGAATTGAATCTAAGAAAGATATCAATATTAGGATCAAAATTAAGAAAGATTTTGTGGTTATTGTGACCTTCATCTTTTGTTTTACTTGAGATTTGACTTAATTTGATGGAGAGATTATGAAAATGTTTGATTTTTTTTTTTGAAGAAGAAGAAGAAGAGTGAAGCTGTGTATGGCTGTATTTACTGAATTTAATCATGAAAGATGTGGAGTTTGTGGAATTAGGGAAGCGTAGGGCATGTGGCTGCACATGGCTGGGTTGGCTAATTACTTACTTTTTTACTATTTACTATTGATGATGTTCGTAAAAGAAATGAATTAGTAAGTCAAACTCAATCTAAAAATTAATTCATATGAAAACATTGTGTAAGTTTATAATTTATGTTTGTAAAAAATTAATCGTTAAGTCAAATTCAATCTAAAAATTAATTTGTAATAAAAGTATTGTGTATGTTCATCGTAACACTTCATCTCACGTTCACCTCAAAATTCTGGTAATAAGAAGATTGATTAAATCCATATAAAAAATATAATTATTTTATTCATGGACGTGCGACTTAACAATTTTTTCTATCTTATAAAGTTATTAGTCAAAAAAGAATTCATTTCTTCAATATTAATTTAATTAATTTTTAAAATTAAATTAGCTTAACTAATTTTTTTTTCTTATTTTATATCAAGAGTTGGTAAAGTGAGTAAAAAACACAAAGGATGGGTAAATTTGATTGATTGAAAATATGAAATAATTAAGAAGCATGTGTATCCCTCTCTTTCCCCCAAAAAGAAAAACCCACACTTTTAACACTTGAATTGCGGTGAAATAAAATTCACTTTGTCATTTTGTTAGATTCATCCTCTCCATACGTTATTTATATTCCCAAGGTTCTATGTATCGTAACACAGCCACTCCATCAAGTCATTAGTATATACTATACTCACTGCGGACTACTTAGAAAATAAGCAGACATGCATCTTCGTGTAAATGATAGTTGCAAATTTTTCATAATATATCCCATCACATGCTTTTGTAATTATATTAATATCATAATTATAAAAAATATCACTTCTTAAAGCTTGTTTTTAAATCAAGATATGCCATATAAATCAAAAACAAATAATTTATAGCACTTATAAACCAAATTTGTCCCAATAAAAACAAATGGCTCATGAATTCTTGATTTTCAAAATCCCGTTTATTTTTTTGTTTTTCACTATCGTTATTCATATTGAAATTTAATTAAATCAATTTATACCCTAAAATATGCATCGAAAGATGATTTCTCGACAAAATAAATTTCATACATAAAACGTGCATTCAAATCATCTAATGAGAGGTGAAGATATATTTATAATATGGATTACAACCCCATAATCTATTTCAAGCCCTCACATAAATGAAGTATATATCTTCACCCTTCGTTCTAAGTTTTAACACTCAAGAAAACAAGAACAAGTGAATAACTATAATAGATGTACTCAGATCTTACCACTTGCTCACCATGGGTAAAGCTCAACGATGGAGGGATTGTGCCATATAGACAACCCAGAGCAACAAAACGCCAATCATAGAATTTAGATAACAATATATCAGCTCGAATCCTAAATCGAGCTCACAATTGAATAAGCAATAATCTCAAGCAATATACAATTTGAATCAAGCATCAAAATATTATATTGAATGAGTCTTTTTGTTATTTGATGTGATGATGAATATTTTGTTTATCTGACCCTTTTTTGTGGGTGGGAAGGAGATTCGTTTCATCTATGTAAACAACTCTCCGGCAATACTGTAACTACCTCTACCTCTCGGGTATCTTTTTTCTATTGGCAATGGATAGGAACAACGTTATACAGAGGCTTGACGCCTGCCTGTCCACAGTACGGATAGTAAAGCTCCTCGCCGTCTGTTCGTCTCCCGGTCGGGTAACCCACAACTGGTGAGAACAGTCTACGCGCCGCCGCATACGACGGAGGCGAATTGAACTGGACGAATTTTCCGGGCTTCAAGCTCGACGCAGCAAAATCAAAGCAAGACATTGGCGAAGACGGACGAGAGTCCTTTTTCGGCAAATTTATTGGAGATAATAACGCCCTAATCTTCATCTCTGTATTCGTCATTGCTGAAACTCGATCGTACTCTTCAATCACATTAGCCAGGTCTTCGTCACAGGTAATCGATACCAAAACATCCAAATCCTCTGTCGGCATCTTACATTTTAAACGCATAGACGATCCATACAATTCTCCAAACTTCACCATCAACTCTGCATCAGTCAAATTTCAATCAGTTTCTAACTAAACAAAATCGAAGTGATGAATGTATAAACAAACCTGCAAATGAAATAGATCTATCAACGGAAAGGACTCTAGTAAAACCGCCGATGTAACGGAGTGTGCCGTCGGAGGGACGAGGAAGGATTCTACCGCCGTAACTGTAGAGGAATTTGACGATTTGTGTAGACTGACTCATGCTCGTGCGAAAAGAGCAATTGAAATCGGAAATTGTGGTCGGAAGAATGAAAAGAAGCTTCTAGAGAAATCTGAAATTTCGAGGGTTTTGAATTGGGACCGAGGGAAAAGCTTATATATAGGGGGAGGAAAACGCGACGACTGACGAGGGCGTTTTGGGAAATTAAAGGTGGGTCCACTTAAGGTGTGACGAGTGACTGAGTCGATGAGGTGTTAGGCTCAGCATATACCACCTGGTGGAAGAAGAAAGGGCCTGCTGGTAATTTGATATTCTTCTTTTCAAAAACGAAAAAAGATCAAAATTGTCTTTGAACTATGTGACATAGACAACTTATACCCTTCGTTACATTTTGAAATCAGAAATGCTCTTACTATTAACCTAAGAGACCATATATACCCTTAAGAGTTAACACCTCATATTTTTATTGACTAGGAAAGCTATGTGGACTATTCCTTCCACTTAAACATTGCCAACTAGGATTCATTACAAAAGAACTACACTTTTAGTGGCGAAAATAGTTGCCACAAAAACTCAAAAAATTGTCACTAAAAGTTTTTAACATTAAATTTTGATTTGTGTTTTTTTCTTTATTATTTAAAAAAAAAAACAAAAATGATATTGATTAAGTAGAAATTTGAAGACATTGCATGTTTTATTTTTATGTTATATGTTAATCTATAAAATGTACAATGATACATTATCTAGTAGGAGATATGAATCGAGAAAGAATTTCATGATTTTTCGTAATAATATTGGGTGTTTTTAATATTAATATTGTAAGTTATTTATTTTAGAAAATTAGGTTGCAATCGAAAATAAATTATCATATTTTTTTGTTGAAAAAATAGATTTTATCGTCACAAAAAGTCACTCATAACCTTTAGATGGAGGGATAAGTCTCACATGGCATGGCATGTCACTAAGGGGGCGTTTGGTAGGCTGTATTAAAAGAAATAATCCATGTATTAGATGTGGTATAATTTAATACTGTGTTTGGTGAGAATGTAAGCCTATGTATAACTAATCCATGGATTAGTTAATACATCCTACATGATATTATGTGATGTTTTACTAATACCTTCCATTTGGAGGTATTAGTAATACATAGGATATAATACCATGGGATAAGCACATAAAGAAAAAAATATCCCTCAAATCATTTTAATTTTTATTTTAATTTCTTAATTTTATGTTTTATATTTGTACTAATAAAATTATTTAAATAAATTAGTTTACAAATTATTTAGAGAGACTTATTTGTAACTAAATATACCTAATTCAAATCAATACAAATTTAATAAGTGAGTTATTTAACATTTACTAATTAAAAGACAAATATATCACTAATTATTCGTATTTTGAACTATTTAAAAAAATTACATACATTTTAAAATTATAACTTGCAAAATTTTTATGTGTGAATGTACATGGTTTATTCAATTTTCCAATTATTGACCGTCTTTTATAATTTTAAAAGTAGTTGGTTTATCTTTTTAAAATTTAAAATTAACATTTTATTAGTGATCAATTTATTAAGATGAAAGCTATTTATCCTCAAATAATTCAAGTAGAAAATTAAAAACATGACAACAAAATTATTCTTCTCATAGCTAGTTAGAATGTCATAAAAGAAATATTTTCCGATAACTATCTACCTTGACCCACTTACATAATATTATAAGGGTACAATTGAAAAAGAGATTTTTAAAGAATTTAATTTCAAATACAAATTGGGATTGGAAACAATGAACCAAACACTAAATAAAAATAAACCATGCATTACTAACCCCTGCACTACTAATCCATGCATTACTAATCACTGCATTACTAATTCACGCGTTATTTTATTTTTTTATACCAAACGACCCCTAAAAAGTTGGGATGTTAACTCTTGAGGGTATTTATGGTCTCCTAGGATAACATGGGGTGTTTTTGATCCCAAAATTTAATGGAGGGTAGTTCAGTGACAATTTTGACCCTTTTCCGTTTCAAAAATAATAATTTCATTTTATTTAACACAGAATTTTAAAAAAATAATCAATTTTATGATTTTAAATTTAAATTATAGCGAATATATTAGAATGCTCTTTAATTTTCTAGCGAAAAAAAATTATATACATTGAGTGTTTACATCAAATCAATACAAAATGTATTATAACGTGATCTAATAAAGTAAAATAAACTACTAATTTAAAAAATAATATGCATATATTGATCTGATTTTAATGTAAACCCCCAAATAAATTTTATCCTTTTTTAGCCTTAAACATATCAGTCATATCAATTAGAAAATTGATATAATAATATTATCAAGAAAAGAAGTAAACTATTACTTTTAAATTGATTTAAGTTAGTTTTTTAAATCAAGGAAGAATTAAATAGATATATGAAGTACCAATAGTAGAATTTAGAGTTTCAAATATTATTTATGAAGTTTGTTTGGTAAAATCTATGATAATTCATATACATAATTTTACCATAATATCAAAGATTCTTGCGTCTTATTCAAATAAAAGATATCTTTAAAGGAGTGTTGATGGACAAAAGTATTAGGGAAAAAATGTCGTAAATATGTTTGAAATTTTTAGAGCTAAAAAATGTTATAACAATCTCGAATGCACTAAAGATAAAATACATATATTAAATACTAAAATTAGTTTTAAATTTTAATTTCAATCTCCAACTTTTATAGTGCACAAATATGGACTTTAACTATCCAACCTTTTAATAAATAAGCACACGAATTCTACCTGACAAAACGCGTGATGTGCACGTATTTCGCGCGAGTTAGGAGTAATTTTTGAAGCCCACAACAGTAAAAAAATGTTGAAATGACAACTCTACCCTTAATGAATCCCTTATATATATATTTTTATATTTCCAAATCAAAATCTCATTTTAATTTATTTATTTTTAATTCTAAGATGGACGTGTAAAATATTTAATTAGTTGACAGTTATTGAGTGACTCACTAATACACGTGAGAGCGTTTACATTTCACTCTCTCTGGCTCCAAAAATCCCATGGTTATTTATTTAAAAGTCGAATAGTTAAAGTATTTGTTTGTGCACTATAAAAGTTGAAGGTCAAATTAAAATTTGAAGCTAATCTTAGAATTCAATATATATACTATGCCCACTAGTAAATAATACAAGGATAATAAATCCTGCTCAAAATTTAAAATAATTATAGCAATTCAATTAAAATTTAAATATATTAAATTTTCTTACTAAAATAAAATATATAATAATCAACCATTAAAATGCACGTATTTGTTTTATTTTGCTTAAAAACAAATCGAATACGTAACTCTTTTTTTGGCTTTATTTGGATGTTTGTGTGTGAATGAACCCCCCATAGACAATTTAGTGAACAGAAAGGAAGCTTAAAAAATTGGGGAATGTATACTTGCACTTCATATATTAGACGATTTTACATGAATAGACCAATAAATACATTTTAAATCATTAAAATGATTTTATTATGGAACTATATAATAATTTTTTCTTTTATTTTTAATTGTCATAACTTTTTTTAGAGTTAAAAAGACAAAAATTTGACCAATATCATGCCTATTTTTAATAACATTGAGATTTAGATCGCGCCATTTGAGCTATTCTCTTTTTTCTTTCTTTTGGTCAGAGTTGTTTTAAAAAAAATCTTGTCTAAGTTAAGAAAAAAAGGGTGAAACAAGCACATCTGGAGAGCACAATACTAACATAAAATTATATGGTTGGTTTAACATTTAACTTATATCTCCGTAAGGGTGGTAATTGGACTCCATCTGTTAAATTTGAATGGATCAAAATGGGTTAAGATTCAATCCAATTAAATTTGTTTGGGCCAAAATGGATTGGATCAGAACGAATTAGTAACGGGTCAATAATCAAATCCCAATTTTTACTAAATTGAATAACTTTATTTGTTATTTTGCAAGCTTTTAGTATCAAATAAAATTATTCTTTTCATTATTATAACTATATATAACATATAAATCAAAAAATAGTTTTTTAACAATATTTTGATAAGATTTCTCAAAAAATAATTTGGATGAAATATCAATTCAATTTTTAATGGGTCGGATTGAGATTGTAGAGTTAATAACCAACCCAAACCTTAATGGATTGAGTAAAGTTGGGTGGGTTTGGACTTAATTTTGCCACCCATATATCGCCCGAACGGTTAAACAAAATTTTTGCAATACCATTTCAATATAACTATCTGTAAAATTAAAGTTTTCTCCTCTGTTAATATGAGACGTAGATGAGTCGATAATATTTAACTTTTCTTATAGCTTTTGAAATCGACAAATATATTCTCTTTGTTTATCTCTTTTGTTGCCAACCCAACCCATCTCACGAGCCTTGTCATATATAATCTTATTTTATATAATATTGCATATGGTGAACACAAGTTCATCTATAATAACTGATTTATGATTCTTTAGAGAACAGAGAGTTTTAGGAATGATAATTTTTACAAGATTGATGACCTTACAATAAAATTATTAGTACTTAATTATTTTTTCTATAAAACAATAATTAAAAAAAAGAGTAAGGTCTATTTATTAATTTGTATTTCAGTTGACTGCGAGACGGGCCGATATACTACTCCCACATCGGAAGCGGAACACAAAAGCTACAGCATTATATTCTCCATTCCAACAGCCTATGTCACGACCTTACTTGAACAGGATCTGTTCTATAGGCTCGTACCACCGTATTCTTAAATTCTAAGAAGACAGGAATCCAAGTCTGGTTGATGAAGCATGGCCATGTGACTAGAGCGTGATTAACAGCCTTCCATAGCTCCTTGATGTGGATGCCGTAGATGATCGTTCTTAGACCTGGAGATCTTGGGTCTAAGTTGGTCTCATGGCTGTCTGACAGACTCCCTTTTTTTCTTTTTTCTTCGGGCATACTAAGATGGTCTTATGGCTGACTGACACACTCCCTTCTTTTTCTTTTGTCTTCGGGCATACTAAGATGGTCTCATGGCTGTCTGACAGACTCCCTTCTTTTTCTTTTGTCTTCGCGCATAGACTACACATTTTGATCTTTTTTGTTGGGGTATGATACTTTAATCTTTTGTTGTTATAGTAATGGTGACTAGAGCGTGATTAACAGCCTTCCATAGCTCCTCGAGCTGTGGATGCAGTAGATGATCGTTCTTAGACCGGAGATCTCGGGTTCTAAGATGGTCTCATGGCTGTCTGACAGACTTTTTTTTTTTCTTCGGGCATACTAAGATGGTCTCATGGCTGTCTGACACACTCCCTTCTTTTTCTTTTATCTTCGGGCATACTAAGATGGTCTCATGGCTGTCTGACAGACTCCCTTCTTTTTCTTTTGTCTTCGCGCATAGACTACACATTTTGATCTTTTTTGTTGGGGTATGATACTTTAATCTTTTGTTGTTATAGTAATGGTGACTAGAGCGTGATTAACAGCCTTCCATAGCTCCTCGAGCTGTGGATGCAGTAGATGATCGTTCTTAGACCTGAGATCTCGGGTCTAAGATGGTCTCATGGCTGTCTGACAGACTCTCTTCTTTTTCTTTTTTCTTCGGGCATACTAAGATGGTCTCATGGCTGTCTGACACACTCCCTTCTTTTTCTTTTATCTTCGGGCATACTAAGATGGTCTCATGGCTGTCTGACAGACTCCCTTCTTTTTCTTTTGTCTTCGCGCATAGACTAACACATTTTGATCTTTTTTGTTGGGGTATGATACTTTAATCTTTTGTTGTTATAGTAATGGTGACTAGAGCGTGATTAACAGCCTTCCATAGCTCCTCGAGCTGTGGATGCAGTAGATGATCGTTCTTAGACCGGAGATCTCGGGTCTAAGATGGTCTCATGGCTGTCTGACAGACTCTCTTCTTTTTCTTTTTTCTTCGGGCATACTAAGATGGTCTCATGGCTGTCTGACAGACTTCCTTTTTTTTCTTTTTTCTTCGGGCATACTAAGATGGTCTCATGGCTGTCTGACACACTCCCTTCTTTTTCTTTTGTCATCGGGCATACTAAGATGGTCTCATGGCTGTCTGACAGACTCCCTTCTTTTTCTTTTGTCTTCGCGCATAGACTACACATTTTGATCTTTTTTGTTGGGGTATGATACTTTAATCTTTTGTTGTTATAGTAATGGTTAGATGTGTTGCATAGACTATACATTTTGTTCTTTTTTGTTGGGGTATGTTTACATACTTACATTTTAACATTCCTTAATAAAATGTCTGACTTCATCGGATCTTCTTTTTTCTTTTTTCTTCAGGTATGTCATACTTACGTTTTAAGACTCCTTAATAAAATATCTGACTCTATCACATACTTTAATCTTTTATTGTCATAGTAATAGTTAGATGTGTTGCATAGACTATACATTTTGATCTTTTTTGTTAGGATATGTTTACATACTTACATTTTAACACTCCTTAATAAAATGTCTGACTCAATCGGATACTTTAATGTTGTATGGTTATAATAATAGTTAGATTTGTTGCATAGACTATAACATTTTGATCCTTTAAGCATGGAAAGAGACAATTCTGGAAAAAACAGATCACAAGTAAAGGAAAAAGAGAAAAATCAAAGCATTAGAAATTGACTTGCACTATCATAAAATTGTGATATGGTCCAATAAAACTTGCCCATGTGAAAAAAAAAATGTTTCTTTTACATAAAAAAGGAACAATTTTTACTTAGAATATGGCATGTCCAAGAACCCTACAGGCTACAGATGTTAGACATGAAAAAAAAATTCACATAAAACTCTCCTTTTTTTTTTCATTTTATTGGTGTCTTTGTTAGCAACCACCATCATTCTTTTCTATAAGCATTAAAAAAAGTTTCTTTTTACATCAAAGGAACAGTTGTTACATAGACTGTGACATATCCAAGAAACACTCCACAACTTGACAAAAAAATTACATTGTTGGTGTCTTCGCTAGAAACCACCATCAAATGAGGGACCAGAATTGAGCACCACAACTAGCATCGTTGTTATCGGCTATATTCAAGATTTGTCGAAAGAGATGTCTAGGGAAATCGAAGAGATTGGAGAAGATAGCAAGAGTAGTACAATAAAAGATGCAGAAACTAATGATGTTTATGTAGTTGTTGGAAAAAATGACTTGTATGTTGTTCAATGGGCACTTGATCATGCTGTTTCCCCTGGATTTCGCGTCTGCCTCGTGCATATTTTTCCTACTATCAAGTACATTCCAACACCAGGTAACTATTGTTCTTGTACATACATATCTCTATATTCGATATATCACGTCAGCGATTCATTCAATAATCAGGAAATTCAAGAGTATATTGAATATAATGGTTCAATTTTCTTGTTGCTGCTGCTATCTCAATAGTGACAAGAATCCTAGGATTTTTCATCATATATCTTGTCTTAAGTCAGATAAAAGTTAGTTAATAGGTGAATACTTTCTAGGAACAAAGGGATGTGGAGCCTTCGATCCAGGATTTTCACGAAGGGTGTCGAAATGCTAAAGTGAATCTGCTCTTCTTAAAAAGTGAATTTTTTTTTGCTAGTAGTGAAATCTAAACACACAAACACTTTAATTTTTTGTATCTTTACTATTTCAAGGTGCCTGAAACCACTAGGCTACATCATATTGTTGTGTCATTTTACTTGTATATACGATATAATATTCCGACGAAGGGTGTCCAATGTGGCTACACGACTGCTTGGATCACTGGTAAAATTGACTCGAACTTGTGACATATAGATTATAGGTTCATGACGTGGATAATCAGCCACTAACAAGTGCATCAGGGCAGGGTGCTTATATTAAACCCCCTCAGGGTGAAGCCCTTCCACGTACCTTACATGAATGCAGGATGCCTTGCACCGATACTTGCATTAGGATAGATTGCTTACATTACACACCCCTATGGGCGCGATGTTTACCTTGCTCCTGCGTGAAACGCGAGATGCTTTGAGCACCAAGCTATTTTTTTATATAGAAACTGAGGAAAATTTGACAGCTAAGTTGAATTTTGTATGATAGTTGGGAACTTATCAAGAAGCCAATTGAGCAAAGAGCAAGTGCAAGTCTACATCAATGAAGAGAATAATAGGAGGAAGAGTCTCTTGGTGAAATACATTCGCCTATGCAACGATGCCAAAGTAGGTTCAAGTCTATATCAATCAGAATCTTCACATCCAATATTCGAAAACATTGTTACAGGACAGTTCTTGATTTTACTTTGGCTGCTAGGTACCAGTTGATACTATGCTTGTGGAAAGCAATTCACCAGCTAAAGCATTACTTGACCTTATACCTGTTGTCAACATTACAAGCCTTATTATTGGAAACAGGCCACCGCGTTCCACGAGGTAAACATAGTTCTCCACCACAACATGAAATTATCAAAGTTCAAGCATGCTATAATGCTATTATTTGTCCATTTCAGGCTAGTAAAGAATGGACAAGATATAGGAGAATATGTTCAAAAAAATGCACCAGAGTTCTGAGAGGTTAAAGTGGTTAGCCAAGTGCAGCAGCCAAAACAGAGTTGTAATCTAAGGCAGCCTGAGATTACAAGGAATTTCCTTGAATGCATATGCTTTTCCAGAAAATTCGATTGAGAAAACAATGTAACAAGTTTTCTTCCCAGTACTTTAGCTTACTATAATAGTAAATATTAAGTTTCTGTTATTAAGTTCTCTTGCATATAACTCGACGATGTTTACTTCATAAAGGAATCATTTCTACTGCAACACAGACAACAGTATTTGCTTCTTAAGAATCCTAAATGAGTCTAAAGGCAAAATGAATGGTTTACACTTGACTGAACTTAACTAGCACTTTTCACTAAAAAGTCAATTTTCATGCGTGTTTAACACTCAGTTCTACATGATAAACACTGGTATTCCAACATGTTGAATACACCATACATTTTGATCCTTCAAATTGAATTGTAATATCAGAACATTATGATATGGTCCAAAACTTTCCATGTGAGAAAAAGGTTCATGTCCAAAGAGAAATACAAAGTTTCTTTTACATTAAAGGTATAGTTTTTACTTAGAATGTGACATGTCCAAGAACCCTGTAGATCTTGACAAATTGGTGTCTTTGATAGTAACAACCATTATAATTTGCTAATTCTTTAAGCATTTATGATCTCCTATTTCCCCTGGATTTCGCGTCTGCCTCGTGCATATTTTTCTTACCATTAAGTACATACCTACACCAGGTACTAAATAGATATAGAATTATAAGTGTGTAGAGTGGTTGGCAGCCAAAACAGAGTTTTAATCAAAGGCAACATGAAAATGCAAAATGCATATTAACAGGCAAATTCAATCAAAATATTGGGAAAAAAAGAATGTAACAAAGTTCTTAAACATGTAGAGACTACAATAACAAAAAAATTTCTTCAAATCTACAATATCATATTTTACCATTTACCTTGTTTCAGATGCAAGAGTAGGTGGAACAGGACGGACCTCAGAGACACATACAGTCTCTTCTAGTGGCGCGATTTCATCATCAATCACAAGAGTCTTGTATTGGACTTTGTAATGTAAAGCGCCAACGGGGTAAAGAATAGTTGCACGCAAGTAAGAACCTATAAAGCCTAACAACTCTTGACTTGCAACCTCAACTTCATCACCAATTTGATGTGTTGTTTGTTTGTTGTCCCTTATATGCTATTTCATCTGAAATAAAATCAATTATTAATTGGTGATTGATTATCTTCAAAGTGAAAAAATGATAGTTAAAATTTGCATGCAATTGTGTTCGATCACGAATATAAATTGGAGTTATTTTAATTTTTTTTGTAAGTTAAATGGAGTGAAAAATAGAAGTAGAAATATTTTTTTGTTGCTTTTTTAAATTTTTGAAAAATTAAGAAATTTAACTT